ACCCACATATACACATGAAAAGTTAAGGAAGAATTATGAAACATAGCTTCACAAAACAAAGCTGTGATATGGTGGGAAGAGTCTTGAATTTGAAGTCCAAAAATCAGTTGGAAAAAATGATAGGGAAGTCTGCTAAAGATGAATAAAAGGTCTGCCAACTAGCATGGAAGCTCAAGAAAGCATGCATTTGTAGTGGAAAGAATCAACCTAGTTTTATGACTTTATTCAGTTGCCATGCCAGGAATAGGAGCAGGAGAAAAAAAAGATGGTAGTTTTAACTCGTATTTGGGGGTGGTGAACTGGGCAAGTTACTTAACCTCTCTGGGCCTCAGCTTCCTCATCGGTAAAATGAGGGGGATAGATTCAATGTCTAAAGTCCCTTCCAGTGCTAGCTCTATGATCCTTAGGCAGGAATGTCACTGGGATAAGCAGACACAGGAATGACTCTTGAGTGAGGATTATTAAGAACCTTGTTGAAATGGTTGTCCATGAGCTCCAGAATACTGTAGGAGGGAAATGAAGCCAGAAATGAAGCCAGTTGGACAGAATGATAGATAATCAAGAGATTGAAGGTTAAGATGAGAGTGAAAAGCAAGTTCAATAGGAATGAGGGAGTAGGAGAGGCACACTGGGCAGCTAGGTAATGCAGAGGATAGAGGGCCAGGTCTGGAATCAGGAAGACCTGAGTTCAAATCTGGGCTCAGACACTTACTAGCTGTGTGACCCTGGGTAAGTTGCTTAACCCTCTTGGCCTCAGTTTCCTCATCTGTAAAACGAGCTGGAGAAGGAAATAACAAGTTAACTCCAGAAGGGTTACAAAGAGTTGGACATGACTGAAAATGATTAAACAACAACAGAAGCGTGAGGATAGGAACTCGTTTTCAGAAATGGGAATTTTGCAGTCCAAAGTCTTAGAGGCAGAACAATTCTGGGTGAAGACAGAGCTCTGATGTAGTGAAAAAAAATCACTGATGGGATACAATGTGGCACAAAGGGTAGGAGCTGCTGGTGTCCTCCCCACAGTAACCTTCCATTTATTTTTTATATGTCTCTAGTTGTACAACTTGTCTCCTCCTATTGAATGTAAGCTCCTTGAGTATGAGACCTACCTTCTAAGTCAGGAAGTCTGTTCATGTTAAAGTCCTACCCCTAACATATTCAAGATGTGTGGCTTAACCTCTTGGTAGCCTGACAACCCTCTAAGACTGATTTGCAGAGGAGCTTTGGACCTACATTGGTTTCCTCAGCGGGAATTGCCTACATTAATGAAATTACAAATGAATCAATGAATTAATGAATGAATGAAGCTTTTATTGAGCGCTTGCTTACTATCCACAAAACACTGTACTAAGGGCTGGGAATACAAATAGACAAAGTAAGGTTTTCCTTGCTCTCATGGATTTCATTCAGATCTGAATTTAAAACAAAAAATCACCAGACAAGAAGTCAAATCTCAGTTGTGCCACTAAAGTCACTGGTAACTGTGGACAATTCATCTGCTCTCTCTGAGGCTGAATTTCCTTAGTGGTAAATTGAAAGAGTTAGAATGCTCTTGAATATTTGAGGATACGGTCTCTGCTAACTGACAGCAAAGGATTTTATTACTTGGTTTTGAATCCTGGCTCTGCCCCCTTGTTAGTTAGTGACCTTGAGCAAGTCACTTCTCTATACCCAAGTTTCCTCTTTAATAACAAGGAATCAATGATCTCTAACTCAGAGTGTTAGTTTAAGGATCAAACGAAATAATATATATGTAGAGCACTTTTTAAATCTTAAAGGGTAATGTCAGTTATGAGTATCATTATTATTAATTATGAGAGAAGATAAGATGATACCAAGCTAAATGTGCAATTTTTACAGTGGCTTAAAGGTGAACAGGAAAGGAGTCATTCCACCAGAAATAAGTGAGGGCAAAAAGGGCATGTTCTAATATCCTTTTGGAGGGCTGATTGGGAGAGGCATGTAAGTACCAGGGGGAATATAGAATAATCACAGAGGAGGCTAATTAGGGGAGGCTGCCTGGAGGAGGTGAGTTCTGAATGAGGAAACTTAGGGATTGGTAGAGAGAAGAGGGTAGCTCCACCTGAAATGGAAAGGGGAAAGTAGAAGCAAGAGAATGAGGAAGAAAATGCAGCTGGGAACTAGTAAGTCAGGTACAGGGGACCAAATGGTCCAAATAAAGATGTGACAAAGGATGAGGTTAGTAGATGATCATAACAACAACAACAGCTAGCATTTACATAACATTTAAAAGTTTACTTTACATATATTATCTTATGGATCGTTAAAGGACCTTGAAAGTCAATCCATCAACCAAAAAAGCAATTATTAAGGACCTACATATGTCAGGCCCTGGAAATAGAAACACAAAAATGTCACAGGAGCTTATATTCTGTAGAGGAAGACTACTTATGCATACATAAAATATATAAGATTAATGCAAGGTAATTTGGGAAGGAGGGCAGGATTAGGGAAGGCTTCCTGGAATAGAAGATGCATGAGCAGAGTTTTTAAGAAAACAAGGTATCCCATGTGGGTGCAGATGAAGAGAGAGTGCATTTTAGGGATTTAGGGCAGTTAATGCAAAGGACTGTTGCATATAAGGAGGAGCAAAATGAGCAATTTGTCTAAACCGTAGAGTGTGGAAATAGGATTAATATATAATAGAGCTGCAAAAGTAGGTGGGGATCAGGTTTTGAAGCACTTTCTATTTGATCCTACAGAAGCCACTGGAGTTTATTGAGTAGGGGAATGACATGGTCAGATTTGACATTTAGGACAAGTTCTGTGGAGGACAGACTGGAGGGCTGGAAGAAACTGGAGGCTAGAAGAGCAGCTAAGATGCTACTCAACAGATTAGATGGAGGAAAAAAAAATCTCCTATTTTTCGAAGAAATGTGTAGATGATAGAAGCAAAGCCAGGCTATCCTCTAAATTTTATGAGGAGTACTAAAACTCAGAATGAATGGAGGCTGCCAAGAGAAGCTAAGAACAACAAAAAAGGGCTGTGGTTTTGCTAGTTTTTATATTAGGAGCAAAAAGAATATCAAAGAAGGGATAAGTCTTTGCTTAGGGTGGATGGGGCAATCACAACTAACAACAGAGACAAGGTAGAATTGCTCAATTTTTATTTTGTTATTATTTTTCCTGTAAAGAAGAATGACCTTACACTGGAAATGACAGAATGAAAATGACCAACAGGGGGCTGATACCCAAGACAAGTGAGGAGGTAGTAAGAGAGTATCTCACCGCCCTTGATGAACTCAAGTCACGTGGCCCAGATGAGCTACATCCTTGAGTATCAAAAGAACTGGCAGACGTGCCTGCTGAGCCATCATCAGCGATGTTTGAAAGAACATGTAAAATGGGACGGGCACCATCAGATTCAAGAAAAATAAACGACGTCTCAGTTTTCAAAAAAAAAAAAAGCAAGCAAACAATCTGTAGACTAAGGCCAGTGAGCTTGACTTTGATTCCTGGGAAAAGGCTAGAATGGATTTGTAAAGAGATGGCTGGTGATCATATAGAAAGGGAAGTGGTAATTACAAAGAGGTAGCATGATTTCATCAAGAACAGGTCATACGAGACCACCCTCATTTCCTTTTTGGTAACAGGATTACTCAACCAGTAGATGAATGGAATGCTGTATATATACTTTACCTAGATTTTAGCAAAATGGTTAATAAAGAATCTTATGCTTTTGTGTGAGAAAGTGGAGAGGGATTAGGACTAGATAATATAATCAAATGGTTTTGGAAGTGGTTGGATGACCAGACTACAAATTGTTAATAGTTTAATGTCCATGTGGCAGAAAGTCTCCAGTGGAGAATCCCGGAGATTTGTGCTCAGCCCTGTGCAGTTGAATGTTTTTTTCAGTGGCTTAGATAAAGGCAAAGATAGTATGCTCATCATACTTGCAGATGACAAAAAGCATGGAGAGAGAGCTAATCTGCCGGATGATGGAGTCAGGATTCAAAAAGTTCTTGACAGCCTTGAGCATTGTGCCAAATCTAACAGATGAAATTCAGTTGCCCTTGGGCACAAAAAAATGAACTTCACAAGTATAAGATGGAGGTCCAGGAATGGAGGGACGAAAGTTGTTCAAAAAAATCTAGGGATTGTACTGGACTGCCAGCTTAATGTGATTCATCACTGTAATGTGGCAGCCAAAAAAACCTCATTTGATCGTGGGCTACATTAAGAGGAAACTGCATTAAGAAGGCCATGGGTTCCAAGAATAGGGAGGTGATTGTTAACATTGTACTCTACTCTCATGAGACCTCATGTAGGGAGTATGGTGTTCAGTTCTGGACACCACAATTTAAGAAGGATGTTGAAAAGCTAGAAAGTGTCCAGAGAAGGGAAAATGGGATGGTAAAGGGCCTTGAGTCTATGTCATGTGGGGATCAGCTGAAGGAGCTGGACATGGTTAGCCTGGAGAACACTCAGAGGAACATTGTAGTTGTCTTAAAGTATTTGAAGGACTGTTATATGGAGGAGGAAGTCCATGTCACTTACAATTAGAGCTGTCCCAAAGTGCAATGAGCTGCCCCAAGTAGGTTTCCCCTCCTTGGAGGTCTTCAGGTAGAGTCTGAATGACCACTTGTCATTGGGATAATGGGGATTCCTTCTGTGGATGGATTGGACTGGATAGTCACTGAGGTCCCTTCCAACTCTCACTTCTTAGAGGTCTAGAAGGTACATAATAGGTGCATAATAAGGGAAGGCGGAGAGGATATGTAGTAGTTATTCTTATCTATTTGCGGGACTATCGAGGGGAAGAAGGATTGGGGTGTGTGTGTGTGTGTGTGTTTGTGTGCGTGCGCATGTGCACAGTTGCAGAAAGGAATATTTGGACTTGATGTGAGGAAAAACTTCCCAGCAATTAAAACTGCCTCCCAATAGAATGGGTTTCTTTGGGAAATCATACCACTACAGCATCTTATTACAAATTTGTATGAAGACTTATTGCTGTTGTTGTTTGTTCTTTGTTCTTGAAGAGGACAACCACATCAGGAAGGGGACGCCGTGACGTGCAAGTGAATCGGATTGAAGTGAGGGAGGGCCGTGTGAGGTCACCAGCCCCACTTTCTCCTCCGGAGCCAGGTGGGTCCAGTGGTGAGGTATAGACCTGGATGACTGGAAACGGCCCACTGGCAACTTAGTGAGGACATTATATCAGGGGTCTCTTTTGGGTACAATGCCTGCTGAAATCTCTTCCAGCTCTGAATTTCTGTGATACCAGATGTAGGGGACTTCGGAACAAATGTTTCTTTTGGCCCTGTGCTTCTCTGCTGAGATCACGCTGGGTTCCACCGAGACATTGGATTTCCCAACATCAAGCCATAGAATTGCTCTCAAGTCTCTTAGTGACAATCTTTCTCTCAGGGTTTGCCAATGAGGTTCTTCCCTCTGTGCTACTCTCAGGCCAACATGGGGGAGGGGTGGAAGGAAACAATCACAGAGCATGCTCTGGGCCAAGGAGGAACTTGACGAGTAACGCCCTTTGGAATGCTGTGGCTGAGCTTAACTAGTTCCAGATTTGCACAGTTCCCGTCAGAACATGTAATGAGGAATAGGGCCTTGGCTAATCAGCGTGGCACATAGCAACAGCACAACAAGGGTGCCGGCAGAACCTGTTTCTCATGGCTTTGGTGTTTTCCCAAACACAGAGCCTAGTTTTGGAGAACTGAAAGCTGGCACTAGGACTTGGGGGCTTTTCTTGTGGTGGTTACCAGCACATCTTCTTGGCAACTGTGGTCTAAACCTGTTACCTGCTACCAGTTAGGAGTCCATTCTTCTTCCCCAAACAATAGTCCTCTGTTACCTGGCAGTCTAGTGCAGTCCTTGGCAGCTTATAATAGGAATGTAAACTTAGAGCTGGAAGGGACCTTATTGATCATTTAATCTCTTATTTTGTAGATAAGGAAACTGAGGCCCCTGAAAGAGAAGTGATTTTGCTAAGATTATGCATGTAGGACATGGCAAACTCTCAAGAATCCAACTCAGGTCCTGTGATTCTAAATCCAGGGTTCTTTGGCTAGAGAGCTCTGGTGAGTCAGAAATAATAACAGCACTATTAATAATGGCTCACACTTATAAAGTGACTTAAAACTTCACTATACCTCCCTCATAGAAGCCCTGTGAGATCAGGGGAGAGGGATATTATTCTCTTTGCGCAGACGGTAGTCTGGGGCATGTTTATGACCACTCAGCTAGCAAGGTACTGGAGCCTGGGCTCCAGGTCAGAAGATTTTGGTTTAACTGAAGTGAATCCTTGAAGGCTGAAAGATCTTGTGACTCTCTTGGGCTTCTACTCTCAAGACTTCCTTGAGGACATCCGGTACTTCAGCAGTTTTGATAGTTATATTTAGAGGGTCATTCTGTAAGAGCCCAGCCCCCTAAGTTGAAAGGGCCCTAGATTCTTTCTCTCTATTTCCTTTTTTTTTTAAAGTTTTTAAGTTTATTTTAAAAACATCACAGTAATTGCTATCTACTCTCCCCCTATAAACATAATTATAATAAAGAAAAACAGCTAAAGCCAGTGGACACTGACCTTATTTGGTGCTGTATGTAATATTCTGCACCCATATTCTGCCCTTTTCACCACCCCTCACCCTTGCCTCATTTCTTCTCTAGGGTCAAATTTGGTCCTGGCAATTACCTAACATTTGGCTTCATTTGAACGTTCTTTTTGTTAACTTATGATAATATTCCATTGTATTCATATGAGCGAATGAATAAAAAAGCACTTATTAGATTATTATTATGTTCCAATCACTGTCCTAAATGCTAGGAATACTATACCAAATATCAGGCCAGTCCTTAATTTCAAGGCACGTAGGTCATTAGGTGGCACCGTGGATAGAGACCTGGCCCTGGCGTCAGGAAGGCTTGTTTTGAAATCCAACCCGAAGTACTTGCTAGCTACGTAACCCTGAGCAGATCACTTAGCTTCTGTTGGTCTCAGTTTCCTTGACCCTAAAATGGGGATGATAATAGCACCTACCTTTAAGGGTCATTGTGGTGATAGACTAGTAAAATATTTATAAAGCACTTTAAAAACTTTAAAGGGCTATTTAGATGCCAGATATTATTATTATTATTAGCAATAATAATAAAAAACATATCTGAATATGGGAAGATAGCACACACAGGAGAGGGGAGGCTAGGAAGAAGTCTTGTGGTGAGAGGAGCTACAAAAACATTTTTGACATTTCCTTTTCAGGAAATGGTAAATGATAATGTTAATTTGGTTACTGGTCTTAGAGTTAGACATGGAAAAAGTGGAAGGAGAAGGTTATGGAAGAAGAAACGAAGATGTCCAGAGAAGGGAGGTCAGTGTGATAGACTTGGGTTGGGCTAATTATGGAGATTTCTCACCAATCAAGAGCCCAGGCCACTACCCTTCCCCCAACTGGTGAGCTCCCAGGTTAGGCAAAGAGATACAGCATACCACAGTCTGTTCAGCCACTCCTCAATGGATGGACATGTACTGTTATCCCTTCCACATCTTGGGGGTTAGGGATGTAGCACTCCCCCATCTGGAAAATCTGCGTAAAATTTTTTGGCCTTCCCTTTGTATATCCCTGAATTTTTTCTTTTTTCTTTTATGGGATGTTTACAGTACCTTATTGTAAAATTGGGGTTAAGTATTTGATCATAGGCTCTGCGTTGTCTGCTGGCCTTCACATGGCATCTGCAGCTTCCACACAACTGCCCCAAAATTCCCATTGAATTTCTTTTGCTGACCCGAAATATATCAAAACCACAATGGGGAAAGTTGCAATGTGGAAGGGATAACTGTACTTTATTTCCTTGCTGTGGCTCTCTTGGGGCCATTAGGAAAGAATGTAACCCATTCTTCATCTATGAGGAGCGGTGGTGGTTTCATTTTGGCGCTCAAGTATGACCATTATGCCCTCGAGACTGTCCCCTACAGCAGTCATGCTTCTAGGGAAGGGTTCACAACAGAAACAGTAACTGAAAAATCTCAATGTTGATCATCATCATCTTTGGCAGAAAAAAAGGGAATGTTCTTCAGCATAAAATATAAAGATAGGAATGAATCATTATGTTCACTTCTTTACATAATCACAACTTGGCTTGAGAAAATTGCCACAGGAAACCTTTTCTCAGTTACCTGTAATTTCCCTATGCTTGCATCTGACCCAGATGGCTGTTTCCCAAGTGTCCCTTCCCCTTGCCCCTCATACTCTATTAATGCGAGTAGACAGAGGTCTGAACAGATGAGGCTGAAGCAGTGAATTCAAATCCCACATGAGGCAATTAGCTCTGGGCTGCCAGGGTCACAGATGGTACCTCTAGTCCCAGCAAGCCAACTTGCAAATGATTCCCTTGGACTCAAGGGGAACCAAATAAGGGAATGCAGGTACTTCAGTGCCAATCTGCCCTTATGGTGGGATTTATGGTGGGACACATTCCCAATTTACAGTAGGTGAGAAGTATCACTGAAAAAAAATTTGAGCTAGAATGGACCCTACAGGTCATCTGGTCCAACTGTTCTATCCTACAGAGTGGAAGAATGAGGCCTAGAGAGAGGAAATGACTTGTTCAGGTCATATAGGTGTTAAGCAGAAGAGTTGGTATTTGAACCAAGGTCTTCTGTCTCCAGAACAATCACAATAGCTAATATTTATTAATGCTTTAAGATCTGCCGGGTGCTTTATGCATATTATCTCATTTGATCCGTGTATTCTCCTCCCTATTTCTTCCTGAGATTTTTGCTTTCACTCATTCATAGCATGAGCCCTGAAGGAAGGGGCCATGTCTGCACTTGGTGTGTTGTCCAGAACTTGGCTAATGCTCAAATGCTTACTATATTGTATAAAACATGTGCCTATTGAGGATAAGTGACCTGTGAGGGACAGCCGGCATTTGTTACAGTTGAGGCCATGCTTTTCTGTGGGGTCTTTCTTGTTCTGGGGCAATAGTTTGCTGGTAAATGTCTAACAACTAGCTCTCAGAAAAGCCTGATGCTTTAAAGAGTTCATCTGCAGCAGCAACATTTTCTCCATCACTTCCTTCAGTTTACTCAATGAACAAAACAGTAAATCGAGCCCTTGCTTGTAGCATTCGCTCTTTTCTAAGATGTAAACGCTCATACTTAAAATTTAACAATCAATTCTCACTTGGCTCCAGCGGGCTCCAACATCCCTCTGCAGTCTGAATCCTGCTACGGGCTTCTATACCAAGCTAGACTTTGAGGCTTGACCATGTGGCTCCCAGCTCTGAACTTCTAAGTTACAGGGACCAGTTGTTGTTGTTTGTGACCTCATTAGGGGTTTTCTTAGCAAAGATCCTGGAGTGGTTTGCCAATTCCTTCTACAGCTCATTTTACTGCTGAGGAAACTGAGGCCAATAGGATTAAGTGACTGGATAGTTAATAAGTATCTGAAGCCAGATTTGAACTCAGGAAGATGTGTCATCCTGACTCTAGGCCCGGCACTCTATCCACTGTGCCACTTAGCTGCTCTGATGGGGATGAGGGGAAGCCCTTAATGAAGTGACATTGACCCTGACCCTCTGAGAACAGGTTGTGAACATATTGCTCCTGGACCCTGCCATGTACCAAGGATAGTCATTTCTTCAACAGATATCAATCAACAAGCATTTCTCAAGTGCCTGCTATTACCAGGCTCATCACTGAGAACATAGAGATAAAAATGAAATAGTCTGTATTTGCAAGGAGCTGACATCTATTGGAGGAGACTACATGGGCATATATAAGTATATACAGAATTTATAAAAATAAATAACAAGGTAACTTGGGGAGGGAGTCAGCAGTAGCAATAGTGCAGATCAGGAAAGGTTCATGTAGGAGATGATACTTGCACAGAGTTTTCTTTGAAAGAAACAAGAAATCCAAAGAAATGGAGGTAAAGAGGGAATTCATGCTAGGCCTGGGTGATGGGAGACATAGTTTTGTGTGTGAGAAACAGAAAGAAGGGCTGTTTGGCTGGACTGTAGAATGTGGGATAACAAGGTTGGAAAGGTATTTGGGGCTTTAAAGCCCAGAAGAGGAGTTCTCTATTTGATCCTAGAAGAAACAGGGGAACACTGGAGTTTATCGAATAAGGGCTTTA